GGTGATGGCCTGTCAGGGGTTTGGGGGACTGGGGAAGCTCGTGGTCCCTGGTCTGGCTGATAAGGTAGCGTGAATCGCTACCTTATCAGCCAGGAGTGGAGGCCCTGGGGTGCTGATCCCCGACTACCAAAACTAGCGACTGGGACATGGAGTGGCACCTCTCTGATGGGGAAGGAGTTGGTGTGTGAGGTTGAGAGGTACCGGCTTGAAAGCGTCAGGTTCACCTCAAGCACACCTCGGGCTCTGGAACCAGTCTGCTGGAGGGGAGCTGGACTCTGTCTCCGTCAGGAGTTGCCCTTTGTGAGAGGCGGTGGGGTGGGTATCCTAGTATCCCCTCGGCTTGCTGCCTGTATGTTGGGGTTTCTCCCAGTGGATGAGAGGGTTTGTTCTCTCGCCTTTGGGTCAGGGAACGAGTCCTGACTGTCGTCTGTGCTTATGCGCCAAACGACAGCTCAGAGTACACAGCCTTCTTGGAGTCCCTGGGCAGGGTCCTTGAGAGGGTCCTTGAGGGTGCTCCACCTGGGGACTCTGTTGTCATACTGAGAGACTTCAACGCTGGGCGATGATAGTGAGACCTGGACAGCCTCCTGGATCTGAACCCGAGCGCCGTTTTGTTACAGTTTGTCCATAATGAACATCATGATTGAATGGTTTTGTAATTGTGTCATCAGAGCTGCGACCATGTGTGCAGGACACTCTGGTGAAGAGAGGGGTTGAGCTGTCGACTGATCACTATCTGATGGTGAGTTGGATCAGGTGCCAGGGGAGGCCTGGTGCACCAGTTCATGAGGACTGTCATGAGGACAGTGAGAGCCATGTGGACTGTATTCATCTCCACAGGGACATAATAAGTTGCCCAATAAGCAAACTAAAAGGGAGGCTGGAATGCTGCATTTCAGACACTCTGATAAGTCTTCACATATCCTTCACCAAAACCTCTGAACCTAGAGCGTGGATGCAATTGTCATGTATATTGTTTTGACAGTGTAAGCAGTTGTTGTAAAACCCCTGCTGAACATCTGCTGACCTGTGTGGTGCACTCTGTGTAGTATTGCGTATTGTAATTGAAGATTTCTAATCACTTGAAAGGTTTTAAACATGTTGAGACCAGAAGTTTTGGTCTAAGCTGACTGATAGATCCGCCTCCCATTTGCAACAGGAGGGCATATTGATTCATTGATTTTATAGAGTGTCCTATATATGTTAGACAGTAATTTAGGGGGTTTGAAATTAAGGAATTATACCGCACTTGGTGGTAGTTGTAATTTGACTTGACCAGGCTTAAATTTTCTTTTTCACTATAGATTCTAAGAGGGTGTGTTTAAACCATCCTGAGATGAAGCCTGTGGGCTACGAAGTGTTGTTGAAAGTTAGGCAGATCTAGTCCTTTGTCCTTGGTCCTTTGTAGTGTTTTTAATCTGATACACGGGTTTATCTTTCCAAAGGAATTTAGAAATGGACAAATCCAGAGATCTGAACCAGTCTGGTGATGGTTCACTCAGGATCAGTGAGAATAATTTATTTATTTTTGGCAAGACAATCATTTTTATTGCAGCGACCCTTCCCATGAGTGATATGGGTAGAGATTTCCATCTATCCAGATCGTCTCCTACTTTCTTTAGAACTGGGATGTGGTTTAATTTAGTTAAATCTGCAAGCTTAGTAGAAACATTAATAGCTAAGTATTTAATATTTCCAGATTGCAGTGGGGCAGAAGAAGGATTATGGAAGGAGCAATTCAACGGAAGAACTACAGATTTTAACCAGTTTATTGAATAATCTGAAACTCTTGAAAAAGAGTTTATTAGCGTGACTATCTCAGAGAGATTGGTTTGTGAAAGCAACACATTATCTGCACAGAGACTGACTTTATGTTCTACATTCTTGCATCTGATGCCTTTCATTACTGCAGCCTGTCTAACCGCTGCTGCTAGTGGTTGGATAAAAACTGCAAACAGTGAAGGGGAGAGTGGGCATCCCTGCCTGGAGCCCCTCAGGAGACAGAAGCTGGAGGATGTCTGGTCGTTTGTTCTGACACAAGCTGTTGTTATATTTTTAACCAGTTCCAAAAACAATATTTTGATTATTCAACATTTTTTAAATCCATGAATCAAACTGAACGATGCATAGATGATAATAACTGACCCGAATAGAACAAAAGTTGGAACTTGGTGCAGTGACAGAGTTACATGACGTTTACCTCCTGTTGTAACTGGACCAACTGCTTCCTGCTGGCAGCAGCAGTCCGACTACATGGACACGGTTCAGTATCAAACGCACACTGGCAGGCTCCCAGTACAGTCAACTGGAAAACAGAGATTAGAAAGGATACGACTGAGTACAAGTGCAAGTTAATGATAATTAACTGTGTTGCCCAGCTGTGGCAGAGTGGCTCAGGGAGTGATCACACACCAGCTGTGCATCTAATAACATATTCCTCTTATTTAGTGAAACACCTGGAAGCTGCAGCCTGGTTACCTGTTGTATGTGGTAGCGTGGTCTCCTGCTACAGTTACACTTATAACTGCAAAACTGTTTGTTATTTGATCATTATTCACTGCATAACGATTTACTTGTTATATTTGATCTTATTTATTGCTTTAAAGCATTAAGTGAGAGGCTACAAGGGCAGGGATAGCTCAGTAGGTAGAGTGGTGGCCCCATGATCGGAAGGTCGGGGGTTCGACTCCACTGAACGGCTACCCTGAGGTACCCCTGAGTAAGGTGCCGTCCCTACACACTGCTCCCCGGGCGCTGCACTGGTGGCTGCCCACTGCTTCACTGGGTGAATGGGTTAAATGCAGAGGAACTATTTCCCTATGGGGACTAACACGCACACATTACACTTTACTTTACACTTACAAACTTTATTTCATCATAGCTGTTCAACACAAATGACAACACATTCACCTTTCAGTGTAACAACACATGCAATCAGTAAATACGCTTCAGGTAAACAGTGTGAAGGTCTTATTGTTTCTGATATGACGTTTGGTGTGGAGCCCTCGCCCTCCTCGTAGACACACCTATGGTATCATTTCAAATCACCTCGTTCTCGAGTCTTTATATCCACAAACCTTTCAGATAGCTTGACCTTGAGGTCGAGGTCACCGAGAGTCAAACTGCTCCGAGATTCTTAGCAGACATATCTATGACATCGACCCTACGTCGCCTCGTTCTCATTGCATTCACAGATTTGGGTGTAGATGCTGAGGCGTACAAACCCTTACCTATTACTGGCCCTGCTGTGCTCTTTGGTAGGGTAAATTCTTGTTCCGTTCCTAAATGAACGATTACAGATCAAAATTAAGCTGTTTTTACACGTTTTTACATGGAGCTTCAGAAGTGTACATGGAAGAGAGTCAAGCTGTGCTGATGTTGATCGGTTTGTGACTTCCTGCATCAAAGAGTCAATGCTAGAAAGCAGATGAGCCATAACAACATTAAAATCAGCACAAATGCTTTAAGCAGCTTTTGTGTTGCTGAGAATCACAGCGTGCTATCCCACCCAGCGACCTCCCCCATCGTCTCTCACCTCCAGAACACCTGACTCGGTGTCCAGGCTGTACTGAGGTTTGGTGGCTTGGTAAATTCTCTGCTCCTTCACGTTCAGCATGGAGAGAAGTTCCACGTACTGTCGCTTCAAGGCTGCAGACAGACACACGTTAACCCTCTGCATCACATATAACTTATACAAGCATCTACATGTGTTGGACTCATTTACCAGAGTTTTCTGCTCGGAGCTGCTGGCTCTCACTCTCCATCTCCTGCAACTTGTCAGTCAGAAGCTTGTTCTCACCTGACATTCTGATCATAAAGCAGCAGCGTTATGATGCAGGTAAGAGACCAGAGACAGAAGTGTATGCAGAGTTAATCTGACCTGTTGTGCTTGTGCTCCCAGGACTGCTCAGATTTCTTCATCTGAGCCTGAGAGAAGCTGAGCTCCCACTGCAAACTGTTCACCTCCTGCAAGCGATGAAGGATTTATCTGCAGTTTCTGATCAGTTTTCAAATGTACAGTCTAATCGCCCACATTTCATACTCTTTCTGATACTATGATGACGTCGGTGTCTGTTACAATAAACACATCAACTCTGTCGTCTCCTTGACTTGGTTAAACTTTAACAGTTTTCATGCTTGTTTTGACAACATAAAAATGCTCTCAGAGAGCAATTCCCATTTAACGCTGGATTGCTAGTACACTGCTGAAAAAAAGGACCACTTCATCATGCTGATATCTATGCTGACATGAATAATGTGTTAAGAATGAAAGGATGCCACATCATGAAAATGAAATTCAACCTGTAGAGGGCAGATTTCAAAGACACCTCGGAAATCAAAGAATTATGCAGCAGTCTGAAATTTCATTGAGCAACTCAAAACAGTGCTCGGTAGTTTGTTTGGCTCTCAGGTGCTTTGTGCATGCCCAATGACATCCAGGCATGCCCCTAATGAGATGATGGATGGTGTCCTGCAGCATCTCATCCAGACCAGGGCCTCACTGAACCGAGTCGTCTGAGATGATACCTGCTGGATGAACTGAAACAATGTCCCCGAGCTGTTCTACTAAATTTAGGCCAAGCAAGCGTGGGTGCCAGGTAATGGTGTCAATCCCTTCATCCTCCAGGAACTGCCTGCACACTCTCAGCACATGAGGCCGGGCGTCGTCATGCACCAGGAGGAACACAGGAATCATTGCACCAGCATATGACAATGTCTGTGGATCCAAGGATTTGATCCCAGTACCTAATGGCCTGTAGAGGTCTGTGTACTCCATGGATATACCACCAAACCAGTCACGCTGAACGATGTTACATAAACATGTCTTTCTCCATTGCTTCAGTCACATGTGCTCAGGGTGAACCTCCTCTCATCTGTAAAATACTCTCACAGACCGGCCTTTCAGGTGTCGTGGATAAATACAAAATAAAACCAGTACCAAAAAAAGAAGATTCATTCATAACTGGAAAAGACCCAGTTGATGATAAAAACCATACATTTCACACCCGAGCCTCTTTCCTGGTACCAAACGACTCACAGACAGGTACTGGTCCGTGGCCCGGGGGTTGGGGACCGCTGCACTAGAGGACGCCATGAAGTTTGGTCCTGATTGGTCGGTCACCGGCTGTTCATTTCGGTCATTTTGTAGCTCTGTGCTCTTCCTGTTTCTCCTGGCAGAAAGAAGCACATACTGATCCTGCTAATGGGCTAAGGACCTTCTATGGCCCTGTCCAGCTCTTCTAGAGTTGCATCCCGTCTCCTTGAATCTCCTCCATACTCTCGATGGGAGACAGAGCAAAGCTTCTGGCATTGTACGTATACATATGCCATCCTGGAGGAGTGGGGCTACGTGTGCAACCTTTGTAGGGTCCACGTATTGCTTCATGCTACTAGTAGAGACAGTGATCGCTGCCAAATGCAGAACTAAAAAATCTGAAAAATCAGGAGGAAAAAAAAGTCAGTGGTCTCCACCAGTAGACTCTTCCTGTTTTGGGGGTTTTCCTCATTGTTGTCCCTCTGGTGCATCTGCTAGTAACTGATTAACAACCCCCTCTGCTACATAGCTGACCAGATCACCATCCCATTACTGACTTGATGCTACACTGCGATTAAAAAAAGGTTCCTTTCAAAGCACAACTTGCCTCATTCACACCCATTTACACCTCTACGCTGTTTCTACGTGCTTTCTGTCTAACTTTCATACCCATTCATATTCTGATGGATGCACTGGAGAGCAACATGGGAGTTAGTATCTTTCCCAAGAATATTTGGCATGCAGACTGGAGCAGACAGTAGGTGACCTGCTCTACCATCTGGGCTACAGCCACCCTAGAACAACCTCACAACATCTTTGTCAGAAGGATTGGATCACAACCAGCGGGAGGTGCACTGAGAAGGGCATCTCTGTGCTCAAAGAACTGGGAGCTCTAAAGGGATCTCATACAGGGTATTTGGGAAGTGGGGGCGGGGCTGGCAGAGGGAGGCTCTCCAACTTATATCATCACAGCACGAGTCTGTCATCACTGTACAAGAATAGATGTGCAACATAAAACCAGGGCTGCAGGACTGTTTCGTGGCCTGTTAGGAGAGTTAACAGGATAGTTAAGACAGATAGGGCGCTCTCACACCTGAGACAGCTGGGGGGGAAACCCTCCTTAAACCTTCTGAGGTCTCTCGTCTTACCAGATCCTGGATGGGACATGTATTTCACTCAAGAGGGGGCCATTATTAAACCGACACATTCGATTGGAGATTCTGGGTCTTTTGTGGCAGCATCTTTTCATCTTTTTGACTCCCCGGTTATGCTGATGAGGGTCTACCTGTCTGGGATGACTATAAATTTGCTTTTTACTTACCAACCCTAGATTTTTTTCTTGGTGGAAATCTTTTTTCAGATAAATGATACCCCTGAGAGGCACTTTATCTGAGGGAGCAGGCCATCTCTTTTCCCTCTCACCAGAAAAACGGTCAACACAGACAAAACAACTTGGCTTTTGAATCAACCATTGGAAATGTAATAATAATAATAACAATAATAATAATAATAATAATGGATTGGATTTATATAGCGCTTTTCAAGGCACCCAAAGCGCTTTACAATGCCACTATTCATTCACTCTCACATTCACACACTGGTGGAGGCAGCTACAGGTGTAGCCACAGCTGCCCTGGGGCAGACTGACAGAAGCGAGGCTGCCATATCGCGCCATCGGCCCCTCTGGCCAACACCAGTAGGCAAGTAGGGTAAAGTGTCTTGCCCAAGGACACAATGACCAGGACAGAGAGGCCAGGGATCGAACCGGCGACCTTCCGGTTACAGATGCGGTTCCCAACCCCCTGAGCCACGATGTACACACAATATGCCATTTCTCCCACTCTGTATGATCAACACCTGAATCTTTTGTCAACATCCAAGTTTGAAACTCAATTGCTTAAAACAAAGCAATGTTATTTTTGAAATGGGAGATAAGGCGGTAAACTTCCTGTGCATCAGAGCTGCTGCCCTGTCAAGATTAATCCCAAGGATAAGACTGTGGGACTCGCCAGTCTCTCTCAAACTGCTGTTGAAGCAGGTGTGAGTTTGAGATCTCGCAGACTGGAGCCTCTGCCAACCTTCCCAGCGCACCCTCACTATACGTTTATGTGTGCCAGGTCTGTCCAGCATCCTCCCCACCCCCTGATCTAACTCCCCACCAGGATGTGATCAGCTGACAGCTCAGCCCCTCTCTTTACCCGAGTGTCCAGAACATATGGCCGCAGATCTGATGATGCAATTACAGAATCGATCATCAACCTGCAGCCTAGGATGTCCTGCTGCCACGTGCACTTATGGACATGGACACCCTTATGTTTGAACATGTTAAGGACAAACTTTGGTTTGCACATAAGTCCTGTAACAAAATGCTGCTCCCGTTCCTCCCAGTCACATCCCTCCAGGTCTCACTGTCATTGCCTGCATGAGCGTTGATGTTTCCCAGTAGGACAACAGAGTCCCCAGTTGGGGCACCTTCAAGGACCCTGCCCAAGAAGGCCGGGTACTCTGAGCCGTCATTCGGCGCTTACCCTCTCATCCACCGGGAGAATCCACAACATACAGGTAGCAAGCCGAGGGAATACTAGGGTACCCACGCCAGCCCGCCGCCTCTCACCCAGTGCAGTGAGTCCAGCCCCTCTCCAGGAGACTGGAGAGTGAGCCCAACTATATCTATCCAGTACCTCTCAACTTCACGCACTAACTCAGACAACTTTCTCACCAGAAAGGTGACAGTCCATGTCCCAACCGCCAGTGTCTGTACCCAGGAATCAGTCTGCCAGGGCCTCCGCTCCTGCCACCGCCCAACACACATTGCACCCGACCCCTACGGCACCTCCTGCGGGTGGTGGGGCTTCAGGAGGATAGGCTCATGCTAGGGCTGCTCAATTAATCGAACATTAAAAATGACTGAGCCGATTATTAGCCCCTCCCTCGTGCTTTACTCTCGCGCTGCTCCGTGTGGCAAATCGAGCGCACCTCTCTGCATTTCGAACACGCGTCACAACAATTAAGAGCAGCGGTCTCCAACCTTTTTTGTGCCACGGACCGGTTTATGCCCGACAATATTTTCACGGACCGGCCTTTAAGGTGTCGCGGATAAATACAACAAAATAAAACTAGTACTGGTACTGAAAAAAAGACGATTTATTCATAACACACGTGAAAGACCAGGAAAACAGAGTAAACGATCAAAACGATAACAAAATAACGCTGAAAACCGATAAAAACCCTGAAAACCAGACATTTCACACCTGAGCCTCAACTCTTGCGGCCCGGTACCAAACGACTCACGGACCGGTACCGGTCCGAGGCCCGGGGGTTGGGGACCGCTGATTAAGAGGACCTGAGGGAAGCTCAGAAAGCTGAGCAGAAGTTATTTGGAGAGGAGAGTGACTGCCGTTGGTTGAACAGAGAGGTAAAAAACTTCAGTGGTGTGGAAACATTATGGGTTCAGTCAGACGTGGATCAAGTAGACACAGTGTGTAAACTTTGCTACGGTAGCTGCACCACAGAGCAACACTGCAAAGTTCACTAAACACAGATGTTTACATTTTTCATTGATTTTTTTATATTGCAAACATTTGCACTATTATTATTTTTTGACAATCTTTAAAGTCATTATTCAACACATTGTTATTGTTAAATAAATATCGTCAAATAATCGAGATCTCAATTTCAGTGAAAATAATCGTGATTGTCATTTTTGCCATAATCGAGCAGCCCTAGCTCATGCCCCTTTCTTGAGCTGTGCCCAGTCCGGGCCCCATAAGCTAAGGCTCGACCACCAGATGTTCGCCCGTGAGCAACCTCCCGGGGTTAGGTTTAGGGTCCCGGTAATGTTATACTAGGCAGGGTGAACTGTTCCTTTGATCTCATAGGGGTCTTCTGAATCGCTCTATGACTGTTTCCTCACCCAGGACCAATTTGCCATGGGAGACCCTACAGTGGGCAAAAGCCCCCCTTGATAACATAACCTCTGGTCAGCATGTAACTGCAAATGGAAAAACCTTTTTTACAAGAGTTGTGTTAAACAGGAATAGCTTAGTTCATGAATGTTGAGCAGGAAAGAAGAATTTTAGCACTAACAGATTGATTCCTTACAACCTTATCGGAGTTTCTTTTATATATTTTTTTTATTTATGTACTTTTAATTGAGTTGCTCTTATATAAACCAGAAATGACGTTACCTTCTCGAGTGCTTTGGCTTTCTCCTCAGTTTTCTGCAGCACACTTTTAGTGTGACTTGTAGCTTTGTCAAGAATGGCCTGTGAACAACACACACAATAGTTTTCAGTCATCAGCTGATTTCTGTGGGACTTTTATGCAGTTTATAACTACAGAAACTAGTTTCAGTTTGACTAAAGGAAAATGTTTTTACACGTGAAACATACGGCTCAGTCTTACATTAAATGCATGACGTGCACATACTTTTTAATCAGTGGTGTTCTATGAGGGCACACAAGGCAGGCACTGCTTGTGCAATGAAATTTAAAATAATTTAATTCAAAGTAAAGTCAATCTTTTAATTTCAAACACACGAGCCATAAAGTTTCTCTAATTGCGTTTGGTTATTCAGGATAAATCTGTGGGCTTAAATAAGTGTTTATATTTGTTTAGACTCTCTCTTTTCCAATGACTAACTTCCTCCAAACCATCAATGTGTGTATTAAAGGAACTGTGATGCACTGGTTTGAATTCTGTCTGATAGTTTTTGTATATTAATCGTGAGTCTTCACACAGGAATGGTAATCATCTATGCAAACAGATGACACAAATGAGTTAAACTACCAACATGTCTTAAAGACATAAAGGCACGGATGTCCCAAGATTTCCTTCTAAATTCAGACAAACTGGCAGATCAGACACACCAAACTGTGCAGCGCCTGGACTGATTAAAGTAAGCCAATCACTCAGCGCCTCACGCATAACAATGCCATGATTCATAGAACTGTATAAGATCAACAGCACTCCAAGAGCCTTCATCAAGAACTCAATAGGAATGTGACGAACAACACTTCAAGTAGCCATGAAGTTCGGGGTTTAGCAAGGAGATGCTGTGTCCCCACTGCTGCTCTGCATAGCCTGAACGCCTCACTAAGATCACCAACAAGACTTCTCTACATGGATCAAGCAGTGTTCCAGAAGTGGACGAGACGTGGATTCACTGATCCATACCAGTACGATCTAAAGCAGTGATATCGAATGTCACTCAGACTGGAGAAGTGTAGTCGGATTGTAACGAGAGGGAAAGTAGTCAGAACCAAGGGGGTTGTGATATTTGATATCTTGCAATTCCTCTGCTCAAGAAGACACTTCACAGCATCGACGGGCCAATGGATGGGGGAGCGTACTGTAAAACTTTGGACGAGAACCTCCTTCCCAAGCCTGAACACTATAGATCAGTCAAGGATGGATCATCTAGCATGATAATGACCTAAAACATATTGCCAAGGCAACAATAGGATGGCTACAGAAGCATATTAAGGTCATGGAGTGATCTACAGACCTCAATGCTACAGAACAACCTATGAAGGAAGCTGAAGCTTCAAGTTGCCACCCAGTAGCCAAGAAACCTAAAGGATTCAGAGTTTCTGTAAAGCGGGCCAGAATCCTTCTAACATATGTGCAAACCTGGAGACCAACAACAAGAAATGTCTTAATGCTGTTCCTGACAACAGGCTTTCTCCCCAAACACTAAGTCATGTTCTCCTTTAGAATCAAACTTTTATTTCACTCCGTTTTCTTTTTATAATTTATATTAAAACTTGGTTCAATCTGGCGTAATGTCTTGCAAAAGTCCTAAAAGTATTGTTAATAGAGTCCAAAGAAGTTAAGCTAGCTACTATAAGCTGTAATGTGCTGCTCTACCTTGCCTTGCAGAATCTTCAGAGCTTCATATTTTCCTTCAAAGTAACGGTGTGCTACATCAAGCTCACAGCATAGTCCATCTATCATCTGCCAACAAAGAAGCAGCACTTGTTAGTTTCCAGGCTACAATCAAGTTGACAACATTAGTTACATTAGCTCTACTTTTGTCCTACCTTAGTTGCTTCCTGTAGTCTTTCCTTGAGTTCGTCTTTAGACAGGTCCACGAGTGAGCCTATACAGTCACAGAAGACGCTCTTTTATCAAGACAACATTGTCAGTGTAGTCAAAGACGTTCAAACTGAGCAGAGGCTGCAGAACCCAAACTAGCTAGCGTAGCTGTGTAACTAGTGTCGTATGATAACATTTGAAACACTATGTAAAATATTTCTAAAAAGCCAGAGATGTGAGTCACAGGGACAGGATGTTTAACTGCTAAGTTGACTGAATGAGTAGATTTCAGATGTTCTTTGAAGACATTTCATTGCTGATCCAAAAAGCTTCTTCACATCCAACTGAAGAAATCCAAGGCCTTTAAATTGTTAGCCAGTTATAATTAAAAATGGTGAAATGTGCTGATATGGTGTATATTCTTTGGTGTCTTCTGTACAACAGTAAGAAACACACGTTAGAAAGTGTTACCAAAGTATGACAGCTCCCGCTGGGCTCTCTGTTGTGTCTCTGCAGTTTTTATTGTAGGAGTCCAGACGGCCTCTCCTGCTCGACTGCTGCACTGCAGCGGGTCTGTCCTGAGCAGCCGACTCTCTGAGCGACCGCTCACTCTGTCACTCTTCATCCTAGTGGAGCTGAGTGCTGTTGTGACTCCTATCCCATCACCCAGGTCCCCATCCACCATGTCATCCTTCAGGCTGCAGTCCTCACTGAGCTCCTCCATCTGAAAAAGGTCCCAGCTAAACTGGACACAGGCCACATACTGGTTTCATCACAGGTGGTCAACACAAGTATTTACAGTGGGGCAAAAAAGTATTTAGTCAGCCACCGATTGTGCAAGTTCCCCCACCTAAAATGATGACAGAGGTCAGTAATTTGCACCAGAGGTACA